GATGCTCACTCCATCATTCCTGCTTACACACCTCACACAGAGGGGGAGTTTTTTATCTCCCAGGTGGAAACAAAAACTATTTTGCTGCAAAGTCATCGACCAGTTTGCATCATTTTTTAACATCAGAGATGGCATCATGAACTGTTTCCCTCTCAATAAATCACACACCTGTGGGCCAAACATTTGTGCGGCTTACAGATATGAATTATATCTGACACCTGCCACTAAAGTAACATCGGAAAAAGTTCCGGCAGCACAAATTAAAACAAGAGGCAACAAGCTTTTAGCTCTTTGAGGCTGCTCTACCAGCAGTGACAAAGGGCTAATTAAAGCTGGGGCAGACTGTTTCATTTTAGCATCATTGGGCAAAAACCTCTTAATAACCTTTGAGTATACTGTAATTCAATATACTGAAAGAAAAAATAGACTTCTGCACTTCCTCTTGGATCTGTTTTCAGGCTTTATAAAATCTAGTCTGTGATGGGACACTTTGGCCAGTCACAGAGAGAGGGCGTTCCTATTCTCTGTTCTACAAATGCAGATGCATGTGCACATCCCTTCAGTGAAAGCCTGATTCAATGGCAGAGAATTCTGCAGAGAAAGTTGCTTTTCTAGCAATGGCAACTACTGCTTACTTGGACCCAAAGAGGAAGACGGACTTAGCAAAAAGGAGAGTCTAAAAGAGAATCTGACAATAAATGAAACAAAACATGTGTCAAAATCTGCAGAGCCTTTCAGAGATAAAGAGAAAATGTTGCTAATAGTTTAGCCCTTTACTAACAGGAGCTAAAGGCTCACAGCTGCAGCCTCAAGTCCAGGTTTATGTAGCCAGCGTTAGCTAGAGTCTTGAATGACAATATGTCCTCCACCTTGCTCCCCGCTCCTACAGACCACTTCACCATGAGCAGAGTGGGCAGCAGCTCCAGAGAGGAACATCCATTCAGTGGCAGCAGCAACCCAAATCCAGCCAGCGGCAACCTCAACTCCAGAGGACCGGACAGCCCCGACTGCCCACCAAACCCAGTCTCACATCAAAGTCATCCAAAACCAGCTTGGTCTGAGTGCTTGGTCAGAGACTTCTGGCATCAGGCATTGTCAAAAAAGCAATTTTTTGTTGGTTGCCGTTATTGTTTAACGGCAACCAGCAGCATCGGGGGGAAACTGTTGGCACAACAACGGTACTGGAAAAACCTAACCAAATCTATCCAGGATCGACATGGAAAAAAGGAGGGAAAATGGATTCAAAGCAGGAATTTGTGACAGAAAAATGCTATGATCCTTACTCTTTGTGAGTGGACAGCTTATTTATTAGCATAGCCTTCGACTTAGCAAGCTAGCTCGCTAATATTCCTGTGTATTGGCAAGTTTGCTCATTAACATAGCCAACCTAGTTAGCAACCTAACTCGCTAAAAATGCAGTAGCTTATAAGGTTTTTGTTCAATGCTACTGACGTGTTCCAACCAGTTTGATGTACTTTGTCAGACAAAAATGTCAAGAGATAATTTGACTTGGCAATGGCACTAAAGGTGTCATTAAAATCATTACAATCATCTTGGGGGTTATAAATATCCATTGCAAATTTTAGGGCAATCTGGCCAGTAGTTGAATAAAATATCATCAAAAAGAAATCATACTCTTCTGTAAATTTATTTCTGAGTTTCAGTATATTTGTCCTATAAGCGGTAAGCTATAAGCCTGTTGACCACACAGAATGCCAAATCAAAATATCAAAGTTCTGTATTTGACCTTGTCAAACCACTACCTACCATTCCTAACAGAGCATGGCCTCATTCCCAGCCCTTCCACCAGTGTCCTGAAGCCAACCCTCTCTCACGAGTTTTCCATCAAATCCCACATTTTCCCCCAAAAGCTCACATCCCCTTCCCTCCACAATTAATTCACTCATTTATCCTCTGTGCCAGTCAAGGTCAATGCCTGTGATATCTTAATTAAAGAAGAAAAGGAAGAAGAAAGTTTTCTGTCTTCAAATGAAGCCTCAAATTTGTGAGCTGTTCAATCAGATCTTTTAAACTCACTTAACCCCTGATTAATCCCCAGTGCTCTTCAGTTGGCCAAGCTTCCCGCTAATGAAATTAAGAGCAAAGGAAGCCCCCATAACAGATTCAGCGCACATCGCTGGGACATACTTGACAAGCATCTGTGGAATCACACAGGCAGCATGAAGCAGAGGGTCCATGGATGTGATGGAAGCTCCACGGTTCTCAGGATGTCTATCTGTGCTACTGTCTTTCAAGGGTCCTCATTTACCAACACTGAACAGGAACAGAAAAGGAGACCATTTGTACTATCCCAGTTTATATACTGGTTCTCATAACTAGAAAAATTAAAGTGTGTCAATTTGAGCCACCATCAACCAATTAAAAGAAAGACTGATGTCATGGAACAAATGGGCAAACTGACAACATGAAGAGTAAATACATTAATAGCCTCACAATCACAAGATTTCATTTAAAGCACTTGCTACTAATCCCAGTGGGCACTGGTAAAATGACAGAAAGATGTTGGATTTTTACATCGCACAGATGTTAAATTTTAGCTGACATGAAAATTGGGTTGGCTGTATTTAAATGTCTGATGTCAAAATTTCACATTGTGTAACAATATGACATTTTGCAAACGTTGGGTTTTGTTCTCTATACCTTACGACTAAATGCTGGTATTCTACATCAAGATGATGATGATATGAGACATTTGGAAGACGTTGGATTTGGGGTACAACAACACCAACTTACAGTCAACATAACATCAACATCATCTGTCACCAGTATTCTAAATCAAATTAACGCTGGCATCAAATGTTGTCTTGACATTGAATTTTGATCACCAATGTCTTAACCTAAATTCAACCAAATATCAATGTCTAATGACATTAGTGGCCAGCTGGGATAGGTTTTATACAGTCATTAAAGTATGCCTGAATAACTGACAGTTATACCATTATACCAGTTAAAACATGTAGAAGCCAACAGTGACAATGTTTACGTTCACAAAATATTCTAGTTTTGGCCGTTATTACAAAAAAGCAGTATTCTGTCTCAGTTGTTTACATGGCTGATGAAAATGAATATTCCACTTCCTGTTTACACGCAGCACACTCCAAACACGTCAAAATGTGGAAAAGTGGAATAGACGTACCCTTTGCCAGGATTTCTTCAGTTTCCTACTATTGGCAGAGTTGGTCGGGCATGGTGTTATATGTGCGCGCATCCAAATACCTGTTGATATACAAGTCTTCCATAATGTTAAAAAGTAGGTGTGTTTCTCCTTTAGACCAGAAATGTGGGTTTTTCTTTTCTGGCATGCATCTCTACTCCAGCTTTGGAGTAGAGATGCAGCTGTTGGTGAGTTGCTTTATGTACAACGTATCTATAATAATGCATGGGGTCGACTGTATTCGTATTAGTCAGTAAACTCATTTATTCTCACCAACACCTCTTGAAAGTACATTAAACATATAATCCACATAACTGTGTATGTTTGTTGTTTATTGTTATTGTTTTTGTTATATTGATGTATATATTGTAGTGACCATTATAGCATAATACATATTTTATATTTCTGAATGTAACATACTGTAATAAAAAATTAATTTGAGCTGGAACGTACTGGAACGCATTCCAGGATCTTTTCAGAAAAGGCCCTGGTGCGTTCCGGAACTAATTTGCATGGGTCTAGAACTTTTCACATCTAAAAACTACATACAGTATTGGCTGATGTCACTAGTGTTGCAGGGTGTACCATAGTACTACGGTGCCTCACGTACCACTACTGTGGGATAAGTTCAAAGTCCAATCGCAAGAGGGTGAATGTCCATGCGCACACTGGCCACCTGGCACTCAATATGCTGCTGTAGTGGTTTGTTTTCCAGACATGTGAGTATCTTTGAGCAGTGAAAGTTATTATTTATTTCTTTTTACTTGTCGGCAGTGATTTGTTTTCCACAGAGCTCTATGTGCGAGCATTTTACTCGCATTTGCGACTAAAAATAGTTTTGTGCCAGCAAAATAAATCATTCAGCACGCTGTGTGAGTACAGATTTCAACCAGCAGCAGAAACTAAAGGCAAATCCTGCTGGTTGCGGGTTGAACGGGGGTCACAGACAGGAATACGGCGGTCAAATAGCCTACGGCAGCGCAAGATAACAGCTTACCGGCAACAGAGAAGTCCGACTCCAGGTCCAGTAGCCTAATTTCCTCTTTCGTTGGTGTCATGACTGCCCAGTAGTACCTGGACAACCGAGCCGTGGCGGCACACAGGTATGTGGCGTGTCAGAGGAGAAACGAGAAACGAGCCGTTCTCTTTGTGGCAGGTAACTGCCCACAAACCTCACCGCACTTTAGGGACTGTTCTTTACTTATGGAGGGACTGTTCTTTACTTGTCAGGGGAGGAGGGTTGATTTTTTTTTTTTTTTTTATTTTGATCCCCCCTATGTTAATCACTTATTGATGCTGTTTTTGAAGTATGAATAAGTCAATAAGTAATTTATTCCATTTAAATATCATTGATGTATTATACAAAAGTGATTTATCTTTTTATAAATGACAAAAGGCACATCTGCCTCATTTTCGCTGTGGTATCGTGATACTACTCAGAACCGTGATACTTTCACTGGTATCGTACAGTGGGTCCCAATTTTGGTACTGTGACAACACTAGATGTCACAACCATTCCATTCGGAGTTGCGCAGTGAGGCGGCTCGGGTGCCGCTTAAAAAAGTGTTCCCCCACTTTCTGGAGTGGGGGAACACTGCTCTCTCAGAGGCCCAAAGTGTTCCCCTACTTCTATTTTACAAATTAAGCACTGTGAGTGAGTATATGAGTGTATCTGCTCTGCAATATAATTCTATGTTAAAGACTGTAACACTGGGTAGAAGTGGTAAAAGCAGGGATCATTTATCTTTCCACATTAATATTTTCATTTGTAAAAGATTGATTTTCTTAACTGTAAATCACTTCCTGCTTCACATGAAACAATGACTGCCGGGCACGATATGCAGTTTTTAATGTCTGTTACAAAATACTGTGACAAGGTTTATTCACCTGTTTCTTCATAGGTACACAGTGTGTATGAGCACATTAGAGTACAAGTACAGTAAAACTCATTGGTCCCAGTCTTCAGTCAAAGCACTGAACGTTGAGTATGGCTAATAGAAGAGGTAAGTGCTGCCTGGATGAGCACTGAAAGGCTCTTGTGGTGAGTTTCTGATAGATCATTAAAACAGGAAGTCCACAGCTTCAGGCCAGAGGCAGCTCATGATAGGCTGCATACTGTCCAGTCACATGATGGTAGATCTGTACAAATGACAACAAAAGAAAAAACTCTCACTTACATGTAGAAAAGTAAAAAAAAAAATGTGTGTGTGTGTGTGTGTGTGTGTGTGTGTGTGTGTGTGTGTGTGAGAGAGAGAGAGAGAGTGTGTGTGTTGAGTCCCCACCTGCCTCTCGATGTCAGCCAACAGGCTGCTGGCTCCCAGGCGGAACAGGAGCGGGCAGAGCCAGTCGTTGCCCAGTTCCTCTTTGATCAGAGTGAGCCACACCAGAGACTCCTGAGCCGTCCGGATGCCCCCTGCTGGCTTAAAGCCCACCTAAGGGAACACATACACCTCTATCAACAGGACACACACCTCACTGAAAGCATGGTTTAAGTTGCTGCTAACTCCTAACAGCTAACTGTTGACCAGAGGCTTCAAGTTCACTTCAAAAACATCAACATTATCGGCCGAGATGAGCCGGGTGCTTCAGAATAAAAGCACCAGTAGTTGTTATTTGATTTATTTCATTATTACAATACTTAACTTTATTATAAAAGTGCATTGTTTAATTTTATCATGTAGTTCTTTATTTAACTTTATTATAACAGTAGTTTGTTTAACTTTACTATGGTACCTTATTTAACCTTATTATAGAAGTATGTTTTTTAACTTTACTGACAGTACGTTATTTAACTTTATTACACAAGCACCTTATTTGACTTAATTATACAGTACATTATTTAACTTTATTATGAAAGTATGTTATTTAGCTTTATAACAGTACGTTATTCAACTTTAATGTAACAATGCATTATTTATTCATTGTAACAATGTTTTCTAACTTTGTAATAACAGTATGTTATTTAACTTTATTATATCAGCAGGTTATTTAACTTTAATGTAACCATACGTTATGTAACTTTATTATAACTGTATGTTATTTAACTTTATTATAACAGCCTGTTATTTAACTTATTTTACTTATTTCATCAATACGTTAATTTTATTTAGAAATTTGATTGTAACAGTGCTGTATAATAGCAGTGTTTTATTACACTTCATGATAACAGTTCTTTATTTAGCGTCATTGTAACAGTAGTCTCTTTAGTAGTTTAGTATCATAATAGCCTACGCAGTAGGCCTAAAAAAATCTTCATATGTATATGTATGCACAAGTCAAGTTTTTGCCAAATGTATAAATGATGTGCAAGCAAAAAAGAAATAAGGTAATCTTTTTTATATAACATGGTAAGGTACACCTCCATGGATGCTTTACAGCATGTGTTCAGCTGGCCTGGCTGTGTTTTACACTACCGGTGTGATCAAACAGTTAACTGTCTAACCATGTGCACAGATTACAGGATCATTAAATCAATTTCAGAGAAAATTGGTGATGATTGACATTTGTGCTTAAATCAGGTTTAATAAGAGCATGTCCATGTTGGGCAAGAATTATCTTGAGTTGCTATGATAAACATTATATACTAAAATAAAATGCACATGACAGAAACACGACAGGCTACTAAAAGGCCTCATTGTCTAATGTGTGACAGTCATCCTGATGTGTCTTTGCATTTGGCTGCTGGTCTACACTATCAACAGATTTCAGATTCTCCTCTTTAATAAAGGAAAAACTAGTGTTGACTCTTTCTGTGTCTGCCAACAAAAAACTCCTTTCATCCACCTCCTGTCATGATAAATGTGTGGAGCAGCGTGCCACTGTCTGCAGTGTGGGGAGCAGAGGGGAGTCGCTCTTGTGTTTGTTGTCACTTATTGTAATAATGAAATAGAAAACACATAAATAAATATAAAAAAACAAGACGAACACTTTTTATTAGGATGTATGTGGCTATATAATGTAGAACATTGTCCAATTCACAGCCTCCATCCAGTAAAAGCTAACTGTGGAAAACACTTTTACATATTTACAGATCATTGGGCCTCATGCAGCAACATACTCTTATATTTCTTTTATATTATCTTTTAATTTTCTGTTGAGAGAAAAATGAGAGAACTTAACTCCAGCTACATTAAACATTCTTGAATCCAAATCTGTTCTTACCCAGGTGTACTTAATGATGTATCCCACTTCATCATAAGTAACCTATTAGCATAGATAACGCCTTCTGAACATTATATGGGCAGGTGTTGTGCCGTGTGCACATGGCCAAGAATTGGAGAGATGTCTCCAAAAAGGCTGTAAGAAGATGTTCAGCAGTAGTGAAATCGATGTACTGTTAAATAAACTTGCTTTTCATTGGAGTGTAAATATTGCTGTTACTGGAAAAATCGAAAATCCAGCAGTGGCATTGCATTTGTGATCCTGTTTTCCCCTTTAAAGGGTTTTTTTGGGGGGAGTTTTTCCTTATCCGCTGTGAGATTCCAAACAACAGAGGGATGTCATATGCTGTAAAGCCCTGAGGCAAATTGTGATTTGTGATATTGGGATTTATAAATAAATTTGATTGACTGACTGACTGACTGACTGACTGTGTATACCTCAGCAGAAGTACTGGAGGAAGTATTCACATACCTCCCTTAAGTACAAGTATGAATATGCCACTGTAAAAATACTATATTGCTATTAAAAGCACCGCACTGAAAATGTTACCTAAGTAAAGTATCAATACAATCAGGAAAATGTATTGAAGTATTAAAAGTAAAAGTACTCAATGCAGAAAAATGTAAAGTAACTATAATAAAATACTTAAAACAAAAAGCTCAAGTTCTTGTCCATGAAATGTTTTTGCATGAAAAAAACAGCAAAAACAGTTGCCAATAGTTTTTCTAATCAAACAACTAATCAGTTCAGCTTGTGTGTTTGTGTATGCTTTGTGTAAAAATCTTAATATATGAAGTAACCAGTGATTTAAGTTATCAAATAATTGTAGTGGAGTAAAAAGTACAATATTCCCATTGAAGACTAATGGACCAGAAGTAGAAAGTGGCATGAGATAAAATACTCAAGTAAAAGTTCCTTAAATTGTACTGCAGTACAGTCGTGAGTAAATGTACTTAGTTACATTTCAGCTCTAGTCAGCAGAGGGATGCACAGTAATTGGGATCAATGCTTTTATATAGTGATATTTCTCTAGCTCACAAATCATTATAATTTAGCTAAAACATATAATAATCTAAAATTGATTATATGATATTTATTCATTTTGTTAATGTTCCTCAAACATTAAACTGTGTTTCCTCCTGGTGGACAAACAATTAGGTGACTGTCATAATAATAATTTAGTTATTATTTCTCTTATCTTGGTGAGAGTGTTCTTGGCCACTCATAAAATGTTCTCTTACCTGAGAAAAGAGAGAAAATAAGAAAACATTGGTGAATCCCAGAAATCAAAATAAGAACCAATAGTGGATACAGACAAAAATAAGGAAAATGCGTTCGTACATCACTAGGGCTGGGTACTGAACAAAACCTGATGTTAAACGGGCCCCAGGGCCAAATCATTAAAGACCGTAGTATTAGTAAGCTCCTATGTCAATGGTTCTGCTATTGGGATTGGAAAAATTCAAAAGACATATTTATTTAGGTTACATAAACATTATCTTGTATATTTTTTTTATCTCATAACTCCATTTCTAATTTGCAATAAGATTAAGACGTTCGTCACTGATTTATTTTGCTATTTAATGCAGAGGAGAGCTCTCTGTGTCGGAGCCTGCTGCATGTGTGAGGGGTGGGGCCAGCTCTGCCACTCTGTGACACACAGACACACACACACACACACACACACACACACACACAGGCCCTTCTCTTAGTGACAAGGGCAGAGAGAGCAAAATTTGTTGATGCCGACACTGCTTGTTGCCACAAGTTCAGCAAATCGTAGTCCACCTGAGGTATGTAACAGTCTATAACAGTACTTTATTCAGGTTTCTGAGGTTTCTACCATTGTTTCCCTTAAAGGGCCAGTGTGTAAAATGGGTTGAAAACAGTGACATCAGTGGTCAAATTCTAGATTGCAGGGCTCACTCGCTCACCCCTCCCGTCGGGTAAATGACGGTAGCCCCATAGGGACGAAAAGCCTTGCGCACAAGTTTTTCAGGAGTAGGTCTATCTAGCGACGAGGTGAATGTTTATTTAGAAATCTAAGCCATGTTACGATATTGTAATGAATCCCTCACGCGCAGGAGACCAGAGTAGCGTTCGGGAAAAAGGCCAGTTTATTTGAACACTCCAGAAACTCTGGTAACACTCCAGGGGGTAAAAGACTCCGTCCCAAACTCTGACTCTTCTAGCGTAACAGACACACTCAATACACACATACTCATTTAACATACCGAGTGGGGACCCCCCTCCCCTCTCTGCTTCACCAAGCTCCAGCCCACACACTGACTGACAGCGTAGCCGGTAAACAGAGCTCAGCTGTTTATTTAGCCTAGCCATGTCTCCGGATTATAGTAGCTGCAATGGACAACTTTGAACGCGATTTTGAAGAGTTTCTTGTAGCGGACGCAGACCCAGAGCCATACCTGTTTGAGCCGGAGCATACAGATGAGGAACTCCATGTGTTTGATGCTGAGCGGGTGAGAAGAGAGGCTGAATGCACAGAATGGGATTCGGTGCTACTGCTGCCATCGTTGGGGAGATATATCATCAGGAGGAAAAGTGCTGCAGAGAGTGCATCACAAGGAGTGAAGTTGTGTCTTCTTTTCCTCGCAGATGACAGTTCGGGTTCATTCTCTCCTGTTGCGTGGTAAGTGTGGTCCATTCGCAAACTTTATAACTAAAAAAACTTTTCACTACTCTCTATCGACGAACTACTAACACTCTCTGCTGTTTCCTCCTCCTTCTTCCTTCCTTCCTTCCGCTGTCTTCGTTGGTTCATTTATACACGCGAAAGGCGTTCTCTGGCTGGCTGGATTGTCCGCTCGGGCTGCCTTACATACATGGCGGTGCAAGATGGCGACCTCTCTAAAGCAAGGCCCTTGCTATATATATGTATGTATAAAAGCATAATTATAAGGCTACTAAAACCTAACGAATTTTATTTTATAGCGATTATACACTTGTATAAACATATTAATGGGTAGAATATTTAGATTCAGATTCAGATTGACAATAAACCATTCCAAATATTACACACTGGCCCTTTAAAAAGGTTTTTTTGGGGGGAGTTTTTTTCTTACAGGCTTATAGGACAGAGGGATGTCGTATGTTGTGAAGCCCTCTGAGGCAAATTGTGATTTGTGATATCGGGCTTTATAAATAAAATTGAAAACTGAAATTCAATTCAGAAGAATGTTAATTTATACACTGTGCTTACATATGGAAAGCATTGTTAACTGTTTAAGTTCTTCTCTCAAAAAAACCCCCAAAAGAACTGGTAAGAGTATGGTTAAAGCACCGGATTCATAAGCAGTATCGGTAAGTGTAGTAGTATCGTTAAAATCTTAACGATACCCAAATTCGGGACCTGAGAGTGTATCTGAGTGAGCATCCTGAAGCCTGGAGCCCAGCCACAGAGCTCAGAGGCCGCCAACAGCACCAATCCGCTGTGATAGTTTTGGCTTCTGGTCTGTTCTCTTTACTACATTATTTTAGAAATTGTATAACTTCTAAATGAGCACAAAAACAAAACTGATAGAAGATTAGCTCTGTGTATGATTAGAAAAAAGCAGAGGGGTAGAACTGCATTTTAGTCTACTCCATCACCCTTGGATACCAGTACCCAACCACAGGTACCAGAAATGTTTCAAATGTTAATAGTACCCAACCCTAAATATTGCTTCCTGCACGAGGCCCTACAGTATGTGAAATGTGTAGACAACAGTGTATACGCTTGTTTTCAGGTTTGTGCAGACTTATAGGGCTCTAGTTTCGCAGACCGGGCAAGGCAGGGGCAAAGTGCACCTGCGCTTCGCCAACTGGGTGTGGCCAGGCGGATTTTGCAAGTTTGGCACACCGTGCGCCTGGCGCAGCTACTCCTCTTTCCCACCTCCGTCCCTCCTACCTGCGCAAGTCGGAAAGAGGGAGGAGAGAAGGCGTGGAGTGGGTTTTACACACATCACACCAATCAAATGCGGAACTGTGAGCAGACCTCCACGGGCTGATGACGCAAAGGTAGCCTGGGAGGAGGTCACCACAACTGTAAATCAATGTTGCGTTTCTCTCGTGCGCGCGCTCTCACAGTCACTCTTGTTTCTTTTCTTTTGACTTTTCTAAGATGACAGATGCTGAATATATACTCCCTATCTGATGCTGTGGCTGTTTGTGGTTGGCTGAGGGGGATGTGAACTCATTAGTTTGCAGCTGTGTTAATTAAATCAGGTTGGGTTTCCATTACGCGTGCCGAATGTGCCATACGGTGCCAATCCCCTTTGATCTGACATCAGATGTGACAGCAGACCTGGTTTCAGCTGGCGAGCTTTTAGCGCACCTTCGGCGAAGCCTTTTGGCACGAAACTGTCACTGCGCCAAGCTGGATCTGTTGACACCTCCCCCTGCTGTTCCTCCACACCCATCTCAGTGCACCTCTGTCTGCCAAACTTCCATACTGAGTGTTCCTCTGGTTGCGCTGCTCGAAACTAGCTCTGCGCGGGGTTCGCCACCCTGCGCGACCCTGCGCTGCGCGGGGAAACTAGAGCCCATAGTGTTGATCTCCACAGACATTGGTGAATCTTTTTTACAAGTTCCTGCCCTTTAAAATCATTTGGCTAATTGTGGCACTGATAAATAAGAAAATTCTGCTTGTAAAGAGGACGACCTCCATGCAGCTGATCTACAGCATAACTTCACAAGAAAATATTTAAACCAACAGCAAAGCAAAAGTAGATACTGTACCTTGTGGCCTGTACACAAGTAGTAGTCACGGATGGCCCTCACCATCACTATGGCAACAGGGTAAGTGGCGTTGACAGACTCTTTTCCTGTGGATGTCTTGATGAAGTCCGAACCTGTCGGGTATAAACAGGTGACATGTAGTCTTCAACACAGAGTGGAGCATGGAGCACGGTCCAGCAGATACTGTCATCATTTATCTACCAGTGTGTTTCTATTCAGCTGCTCCACATTCAGCCCTGTGCAGGAAGATTCAACATAAGATGAGCTGCTAAAGTAGTGAAGCAACATAGTGTAGGTGTGAGGGTGCACAGAGAGGATGGACAGGGCATTACTCTGACAGTCTGGCCTGGCCAGACAAGAACATATGCTGCTGATGATGGTTAACAGAGGGCAGCTGCACACTCATCAATAAAAGCCTTCATTTTTCCTTCCCTTCCTTCACAGCCAATTATGTTTTATCAGCTTTCCTGATAAAAATAGAAGATGAAATGACACTCTTTAATAGATTACCCACAAACTGCGGGCTGCAGGAAAGAAAAAAAAAATCATCCCTTCTGCCTCCCTGGTGTATAATGACGGTTCATTACTGAACAGAACAAGATGAACATTTTCCAGTTCATTAAAGACATGTTCTATGTATTTTTCCAGTCAGGTCTTTCTTTCAGCCTCTCTCCCCTCTTCCTCAAACTGGCATAATCCTTAAGATTCGTTATGGGGAGTCTTAATTACCAGATAATGGATAACGGTTATTAAATGCGGGTGGCGGTAATGAAGCTCTATTCATTTGTGTGGGCAGGGGGATACTAGCGGGGAACAGCAGAGTAAAATAGCCTGCATCAGAGATTAATAGGTGAAATTATCATTCAATTTCAGGAATCTCATACGCAATTCATAGGAACAAGGGGAGATTAAGGAGCGAGTGTGGCGACAAAAGCAATGCATTTTAATAATGATCTCTATCAGAGCCCCTGACAATTTGGTTCTGTAATCGGCTTATTATGTGATGGCTAGTTAAGCATATTGTGTGTGTGTGTGTGTGTGTGTGTGTGTGGGTATTAGAGAGATGGAGAGCTCCACTCATCAGGTTCGCCTTTTCAAAAGGCAAAAGAAAAAGCTAAGCAACAGTGCCACAAGCCGGATGACCACAGGAATTACACCAGGCCTTCAACTTTTTAAAACCTCTTTAGTGCCACATAAAAATCATGTCATCACATGAAATGAAAAAAAAAAAAAAGACTTTCAGTAACTTAAGTTTCAACTTTCAGCGTGGACTGTATTTTCCCATGTTTTTGTGTCTGAGAGAAGAATGGGAACAACAATTTTTGAAATTGCTCCAGTATTGAGCAAGACGCTAAAAAGGCTATAATGGGCTGTAAAAGTGTGGTTTCTGCAACTGACAAGCTCAGATTGTTATTGTAAGTGTCATATAATGTAACATAATGGAAAGGATCCCTACAGTGATAGACCTTTTTGATAAAAACTAAGATCCTTTTTGTTAAGGCAGAAACAGCCCTGAAATTGCTTTTGCCAACCACACCAGACTCCATTTAAATAAACAGTAATTCTAGCATGTATGGAGCCAGTCTATTTTCAATTCAATCAATCAATCAATTTTATTTATAAAGCCCAATATCACAAATCACAATTTGCCTCACAGGGCTTTACAGCATACAACATCCCTCTGTCCTTATGACCCTCGCAGCGGATAAGGAAAAACTCCCCAAAAAAAACCCTTTATCGGGGAAAAAAATCGGTAGAAACCTCAGGAAGAGCAACTGAGGAGGGATCCCTCTTCCAGGACGGACAGACGTGCAATAGATGTCGTACCGAACAGATCAGCATAATAAATTAACAGTAATCCGCATTACAACAACATTATTGAAAGTAATAATATTGTAGTTATAGTTCTGGCTACTGTGGTACAATATGTTGAAAGTATGTATTAATATCTGGCAGTATACATGTGTGACAATAGTCATATGTGTATAATAACAGTAGAAGTATGACTAATGACTAATGATGTCAGTAGCAGCAGGAGGCATCTGGCAGGACCACGGCAGCAGCACAACCACACACGTCACGCTGTCCAGGCACCGCTGCGAATTTTCAGATTTAATTGGGTGAATTAAAGGTTTAATTTAACTAACCAGAGTTGTAATCACTGGAACACTAGAATGATGAGTGTGAGTCTTGTGAGTCTTACTTTGTTTATGCCGACTGTGAATGAAGGGTGTTTTATGATGTTGGACTGACTGTTTATTTTAATGGAGTCTGGTGGGTTTGGCGATAGCAATTTGCGGGCTGTTTCTAGTTAAACAAAAAGCATCTTACGCTTTAACAAAAAGGTCTATCTCTGTAAGGATCCTTTCCATAAAGTTGTCAGACACTCATAATAATTCTAACCCTGTTGGTAGGGCTGGGCAATATGGTTTAAAATAATATCACAATATTTTTAGGCTATATCGCGATAAAGGATATATATCTCGATATTCTGAAATCTTCTCTAAACTACTGTGAACTACTAAAATACAAAAAAATGAACTACAGTTACAATTAAGTTAAATAAAATACTGTTTTAATAAAGTTACATAAAGAAGCTACTAACATACTTAAGCTAAATAAAGTAGTGTTATAACAAAGTTAAATCAAGTACTGTTATAATAAAGTTGAAGTATTGCCACAATTAAATAAATCAAAGCGGAACCACTGGTGCTTTTATTTTGAAGCACCTGCATCACATACAAGTGCTGATGTTTTCGCTGAGAACTTGAAGCCTCTGGGTCAACAGTTAGCTGTGAGCAGATAGCACAAAGTTAAATTGTTGCTGTGTCTTTAAACGTGAGGGTTTCTTTACTGTGAGCTGGAAACAAACTAATGGCTCTCCAGTTCATATATTAATAGTATTGGCAAGTTGCACTGGTGCTCCATGGTCACAAAATATGACTAAATAGTCATGGTCTAAAGCCGTGCAGATACAAAAACACACAATTCGTCTGCTCACACTATTGTTAAACTGTGGAGCCTTCAAATGTGATGATTTATTCACTGTAAGCTGGGAACAAACGTCACTTTGTCACACACTGTCACTCAGGTTACACTGCAGACTGTTTCACAGCTGCCAGCTACAATTTCAAAAACTGTTGTCTGCATCAGTCATGTAGACACAAAAACACGGGAAAATGGGGTCCAGGTTGAAAAATACCAAAGTTACCCTTTTACAGCTGAAACACATGCAGAGTGGCTTCTTCAAGACTGCAGCATCTTTATTCGCAGTGGTGTGATACAGTTCAATGCTCAGAGCCAACGGTAACAAGACTGAAAAGGTGGAGTTATTTGAAAATAGTGAGCTGTGAGGGTTGTCGCTCTATGAGCCATCCCAGCCACTGACTGATGTCATGAACCTCATTACAGTTTAGCACAAGTTTATTTGTGCTATTTCAGTTCACCTCAGGGATCCATCAGCCTGAAGACAAACTAACATTTCCCTCCAGCTGCTGATTGAGGAGCACCATCAGCTGAGAACAAGAACTGTACAGTTTTACACTGTGTCTACAAAGGAGGCGTAGGGTGAGCAGCAGCTGCAGCTTACATCCTCCGTCTGTGTCTACTCAGGATGCGTTCAGGCACAGCTTTGAGTGTAGGTTGCCCGTGTTTTGGCAGCAATCAGAACCCAATTCACAATCACTGTAGTTACACAAGTAAAAGAGAAGAAACTTAAAGTGTAAAATTACACTTCAGGTTGCATTTACACACATATGGTATGATTAAAACGTGAGCCTGTACACAGAACACAGATGACTGGATAATGTCTGATGTGTAGCATCTCATTCACTAATGCCGGCCTTCAACCAAATACCCTGACAAATTTTCAATGTTGCACTAAAATCATGAGAGTTTTATCTTAGTTGTTGCAAGCTCATCCGTTTAGTGTAAGGTGGTCATAAAGCCTGAGCTGTCTTAAGTCAGTCTTTTTCTGATTTTGACAATCCAACAAAATCAAACATGTTTAATATTAGCCTATGTTTTTAGTCTTGGCTCACGCAAACACTGAAGTTCAGTGATGTGAACATTGCAAACAACCAGTTGGTGAGCTCTCTCCAGCACCAAACAGGAAGCAGCAAACCAGGTAGACAGTAAACATGGAGGGGACTCCAGGGTCTCAGTTGTCTCAGACTGTGGAAAAGAAGGAGAAACTGGTGGAGCTGTGGAGGAAACAAGAGTCTGTTTTTCTGATTCCACCAACCAGCACTTATTTTACTGCGAATATAGGGCTGGGTATCACCACTGATTTCCTGAATCGATTAAATTTCTATGGCTGTAGTCGACTGGACGATTATTTGGTCAATACGCTCTCATCCGACCAAATTCTCATTGGTCGAATCATCGCTGTGTTACTTTCATAAGGAGAAAAGTGCTACATCAATAGCTCTAATCTATAATTTCCTGCGGTGGGAGGGACAGCCTAAGTTACCTGTAAAAATGGGGGTGTTTTCAAAACACCCCCTTTGTTTACACAACGTTGAACTCGCCCCCCCTAACGTGCAGCGTCACGGTGACGCAGACCTCCTATCTGCTTCTGTATACTGACACCTTTTCCCTCAGTGGAAATTAAGCTTGTATTTACTTGTATTTCACAGAGAAGAAACAATAAATTGTGAAGACAGTAAAGCCTCCACTAAAATAGCATTTTAAGTCTTGTGTGTGATTTATCCTGGCTTCATATGAGTAAAGCAAATCTCCGCTCGTCGTTAGGCTAATTTATACAGGGTATCTGCAGGTTTCAGTAAGTTAAATTTAAGACTTTTTAAGACCTTTTTAATGCCACCTTGAATGGAATTTAAGACCCAAAAAACTGTAAATATGGTTGATGGTTGGGGGATCCCGCTGTACTATAACCAGTGCTTAATTTGTAAAATTAGAAGTGGGGGAACACTTTTTTAAGCGGCACCAGAGCCCCCTCACTGCGCAACTCCGAATGGAATGGTTGTGACATCTAGTGTTGTCACGGTACCAAAATTGGGACCCACGGTACGATACCAGTGAAAGTATCACAGTTGTGATACCACAGCAAAAATGAGGCAGATGTGCCTTTTGTCATTTATAAAAAGATAAATCACTTTTCTATAATACATCAACGATATTTCAGTGGAATAAATTACTTATTGACTTATTCATAGAAAAACAGCATCAATATGTAATTAACATGGGGGGATTGAAATAAAATAAATAAATAAAATAAAAATCAACCAGCCACCCTCCTCCCCTGACAAGTAAAGTACAGTCCCTTCATAAGTTAAGAACAGTCCCTAAAGTGCGGTGAGGTTTGTGGACCGTTACCTGCCACAGAGAGAAATGTGAACGGCAGTCATGACGCCAACAAAAGAGGAAATTAGGCTACTGGACCTGGGATCGGATTTCTCTGTCGCCGCCGGTAAGTTGTTATTTTGCGCCGCAGAGCCGCCGTAGGCTATTTGACCACCGTATTCCTGTCTGTGACCCCCGTTCAACCCACAACCAGCAGGATTCGCCTTTCGTTTCTGCTGCTGGTTGAAATCTGTACTCTCACAGCGTGCTGAATGATTTATTTTGCTGGCACAAAACTATTTTTAGTCGCAAATGCGATTAAAATGCTCTCACGTAGAGCTCTGTGGAAAACAAATCACTGTCGACAAGTAAAAAGTCATAAATAATAACTTTCACTGCTCAAAGATACTCACATGTCTGGAAAACAAACCACTACAGCAGCATATTGAGTGCCAGGTGGCCAGAGCGCGCCGTTAAGCCCTTTTCACACGGAGCGCCCAAAGCGCAAACCTCCGCCGACGAACCCATTCATTGTGTATGTGCTAACGCCAGCGCGCGCCGTTACTGGACGGCGCATAGACACTCACAGAAAAGTGCCGCGAGAATAAAAAAAAAGAAAAGAAAGAAAGTCAGATTAAATATTCCTTCTGCAACAATTTTAAGACCTTTGAGTAATGAATTTAAGACCAATTTAAGACATTTCTAATGAATTTAAGACATTTTCAGGCCTTACTTTTATATACGTGAATTTAAGACTTTTTAAGACTTTTCAAGGATTCGCGGGTACCCTGTTATACAACGTAAAATGCCACAGCCTTTTGCTAATAACGTTAGCATGTTGTATTTGTTTGGAAAACGTGTTTAGTGTGACAGTTGTTATGTCGGTGAATCTTGTGAATTGTAATGGAGCCAAATTATGTGCCGTTACCTTTGTAAAATGTTGCTGTTGTCCCTGGTTTTATATGAGAAGAGGAAAAGATCACTAGCCACCAGGCTAGTTTATACAATATAAAATGCCATAGACTTGTGCTAATAACGTTAGCATGTTGTAGTGTTTCTGTGTCTGCCAATGCTGCGATTTATAGTGAAGCCAATTTGCGTACTTGTGTTTGAAATGGTCTCTATTAAGCCATGTTTAATGTGTGTTTTGAATCAACTAAACTTAAAGCACTTAACAGAGTCCTCCACCGCCAACTAGTGTTTTGGAGGTGTAACTGCAGAGTGACACAGACACACCACCGCAGAAGTAAAAATGCTCACAACTAATTGCTTAGTTGAAGAGTATGTATGACTTCAGTCGACAAAAAATTTTTTTTGGTTGACTACAGCCCTATCAATTTCGATTCACAAGGTCCCAGTTTGATTCAATTTTCGATTCAATTTGATAATGATTTGATTGGGATATTTACGTTACAACATCAATTTCTGCTAAACCTTGAAAGAGAATTCTCAGACAACTAATACTGTAAATTTTACAAGGCATTATTTAAAAAAAATAATAAATTCATAACAGGATTTATAACAGTTATATTAAAACAGCAAAGTCACAATACAAACGCAATACCTCACTGGAAACAAATCCAAAATGTCTAAAATAAATCATATTCCCGACATCACAATACTGAGTGAAAATTAGAAAGAATTAAGAACACAGACATCAGTCAATATCAGTCCCCCTGTCCTCTCTGCTCCTCCCTCTGCTGCTGAGGAAATTCACTGCCTGCTGGTAAAATTACGGCTGCTAAATTTTAAGACACATGGCAAACTGACATAACCAGGTGTTGTTGTTTTAGCTTGTTAATAACAATTTGCTATTAGCTGGAAAGCGCTGTGTGTTTATAGCGCTGTGTGTCTTGTTTATAACATATTAGTGGTAGTGGATGAGAGACTGTGAACAGAGCAAATTACAATATCACTTTTCTACATGTTTACATGTTGCTAATCAGGTGTATTGATAAGTATTGACCTTTTCTTATGGAGGTTTTATTGCACTCACAGTAACAAGCTTAGCTGTCATCACCTCACGTTATCTTCACCTCTGTCTCCAACGCGGCATCTCTACTCGGTAATTGTGTGTCTGTGTGTGTGCATAAATGTGGACACAGCAGCCCTGATGCACAGACAGCAGGAGAGGCTGATGCAGCATGATAATGAATTACACCCAAACATAAAAACAGTAAGCTAACACTTTCAGGTAAAAGAACCAGTAAAGTCACAGCTTCTCAACAGTACGGTCATTGATAATTTAGCACTGTGGCCCGTTTACTTCCAGCAAGATTAACAAGGTTAAAGCTTCACACATCTGTGGGAAAGAGCATATATTAAAAGATCGGTCTCTGATTTTATGAATTGCTATCGGGTCATTCAAATGCAGATTGATTTGAATCTGATAAATTGATTATTTTAACCCAGCCCTAGAGAAGTCTTAATCTTTGAAACTGTTTGCCTCCCATTCCCACATTCTCCTCCTACTACAATAGCGCCGCTAACCAACGGAGGCAGGTAGTGAGTTGAGGCTACAAAATCCAAAATGTCAAGTTTTTCCACAAATACATTTTACGTTTATGGATTATATTGATGCTGTATTGGAAAAAAATACTGTCAACATATGACGCCTTTTATCTTGTATTTGTAGAGTCTTGTGTTGTATTGTTAATATGTCATATTTCTTAAAGTGAGTTTTGGTGTAATAGTCTTTGCAGAATCTTGTAGTGTGTGACTAAAAACTCACATCGTCTTTCAATGTGAGTCTTCTAGTCTATGGTAGGCATAAATAGCTTTTAAATTCTTATTTTGTGCACATATATATAACAAGCCTGAATATGAAATTTGTTAAGATTATACACATATACAAATATATTTCATAAAGGCAGCAGAAGATGTGTTCTGTTATTTACATTTGTATGACAGGAGCTACTGCTGCAGTGGTATAGGTCTTTACTGCCAGTTTACTGCCGTGAAACTAGAGGTTTTCCAGCAGACCACTCAGCAATAGGACCCAGTAAAGTATTTCCAACCGACCTATCAGAGAACATTTGGCATTATTGGTTTCATTTAAAGACTTGAACTTACGTAAGATAAATTCAGAACTGTTGGGACTTGTCAGGACTTGCAGACACCCTGCTGTTACCCAGAGGTACAGTCACAGCAGGTGTTCTCCAGCCTCTCTCTGCTCTCCTCACTCCCTCATTCTACAGTTAACACACACATTCAGGTGCCACTCGCACATCTGCAGCATGTCACCATGAGATGGCTCACAGCCACACACACCAGACCAATGTGTGACTGGCCTTGTTATTAGGGTCTGGGCAGCTAAGCTGCCAGGACACTATTGTAATCCTAGGTATTCTTCTTCTTTCTTCTTCCGAGGAAATCAGACTTCCCATGGGTGAAAACTCACCAAACTTTGCACAAAGGTCCAGTCTCATGCCAGATATCCTCAGCTGTAAACTCAAGCCAATAGTCCTGATGGTGGCGCTACAGCAAGCGTCTAAAGTCCAAAACTTTGAAAATTCATAACAAATCAACCATACGTGCTACAACTTCACAACTTTCATCAAACTGTAGCCCCAATACTGAAGAAACTTTTGTACACTTAAACCTATTAAAAATTATGAAGTTCATCACTCTGTTTTTTTCAAAAACTGTAAAACTTCTTAAACCTATCTCCTCCCAAAATTTTTGCTCAATTGACACCAAACTTGCTACAGAGCATCTTCAGACTGTCCTACAAAAACTGTGTGTCTCAGATTTTTGATTTATCATAAATTGAGCCTACAGTGCATCAAAATGTTTGACTGTAAACGGTACTTTAAACATATACATGCACATTCTTGCTAAATAAATCTTCAATGTTCATGAAAAAAATGACAAAATTCTAAAGTCATGGTAGATGATGTGTGGCAAATTTCAGAATTTTATCTCAAAAACTGAATTTTTGACAGCATTTCGAATTTTGCTCTAATGTGAACAATTGGAGTCAATGTAAAAATGGCAATTTAAATTTTTCACTTATGGAGCAAATCAATCATTGTTACAAACAAATTACCAACATCTCCATGCTGTCTAGATGTAATATGTGTATTTTGAGATTTTTGTCTTAATAACTGAATTTTTTACAGTGGTTTGAAATCTGCTGTTCCATGCACGGATGGCTGCTTTCCTACACAACAGTGAATGGCTTACTCAATTTGTGACGCCACTGTTGAGTTGCTACTTGCCAATTAGCTCAGAGTGGTAGATGACCGTCTTAGGTTCCAGAGGTTGCTCAGAATTGCCTAAAAATGCCCGGACCCGACCCATCGCTGCGCAGCAGCTATAATTATTACTATTTTTTCTATAAATATTTATTGTTGCATCAAAATATCTCTACACAGCGCACCAACAAATAATCTGTATTTCACACAGACATCTTACTCTTGTAAGAGAGGATGAGCCTATTTCCCAAAGTCTTGACTTAACATTCACTGAAGAATGCCAAATGTTTCTTTAACTGAACATTTTCTTTCAAGAGACACACTGTCACAATGACAGACACTGAAAGCTGTCAGAACAGGGTGCTGACTTACCAGCCATCATGGCCACCAGGCTGGCCTTGTAGACGTTGGTGAAGGTGCCTAGCTCTCCAATAGCCAGGATGGTCTTCATGTGGGCGTCTCCGCAGGCCTCCCGAAACTGACGGATCTCATCATACATGGCTGTAGGGGGAGAGAGGAAACACTTACTAAACATGCTTTATCCACATCAACAAAAGGTTACCCCATCAGCAAAAGTCAAAACACAGGACTAAACCTGCTATAATTCCTAAAATGATTGTCAAGTGTTTCAATACACAGAATACAAAAAATTTTTTTAGTTGTGATCAGTTGAGAAATACAAAAAAAAAGTAAAGTGGAGATTAGTTTTTATTCTATAATTTCACCTAGAGCTACACAATACACTGTACACTGCACTACATATTTGGTTAAAAATCACAAAACTTAAAAAAATATATTTTTTCTTTTAAGTGAGAGAAATTGTTTTCATGTTTTTATGTTTGAAGCTATCTGGGAGAAAACGATTCACTTTTACAGCTCAAACCTTTTCACAGTCTGATCTTGACAATTCTCTTGACCTTGGAAACGGCAGCTGCCAACAGGATCTCTACTTAAGGTCCACCACTATCTTGTGTTTATTTCATCTGCTGATGAAGACCATATGGTGTGATCGAAAACTCTAAGGACTAATGTAAGGACTTTCAAGTCCTTTTTTCAAGCATTATTTTGTCATTTTCAAGGACTTTACTCAAAACAATTAATTAATTTTCAAATAGAATTTTTATCAAACAGAAATAAATAACGTGATCAATGCTCATATTTTGAGTGAAGAGTTGCTTGTCACACTATTTTTTTTAAATCACAATCTGACTGCCTGCACGTGACAGGAAGACAGGGAGAGACCCCGTCACGCCTACCTGACAATTGTCAACTTGTTACCGTGCATAAGAATAAAAAATAAAAGACTGAATTACTGCCCGGCCGTTGTATGCCTCTGCGCACCAGTCAAATTTCTCTACAGTTTATATCCATGTCTGTGAAAACATGGATGCTTCACACACATCTTCCCCCCGACAGCACAGAAGACCTACACAATCAGCACAGTTTCAAGGTGGGCACCCAAGATTCATGTCACCAATTCAGTATCTGACCAAATGTCTCCCCTTCTGTTCCTGAGATATGACATTAAATATTGGCCAGAAAAGCGTTTTATGCAGGACATAATGTTGTCACAGTGAATCTGACCTTTGGCCTGTTGGATATAAAATGTCATCACTTCATTGTTTTACCCTATTAGACATTTGTGTGAGATTTTGTTATAACAACTGTATGTATTCTTAAATTACGGCCAAAAACATGTTTTGTAAGGTCACACTGGCCTTGACCTTTGACAATAAAATTCTAATCAGTTTATTGTTAAGTCCAAGTAAACATTTATGCCAAATTTGAAGAAATGCCCTTAAGGTGTTCTTGAAGTATCACACTCACGAGAATGTGGCTGAGGCAAGGTCACAGTGACCTTGACCATAAAAATGTTATCATTTCATCACTGAGTACAGGTGGATGTTTGTGCTAAATTTGAAGAACTTCCCTCAAGGTGTTCATGAGATATTGTGTTTACAAGAATTAGACAGACAAGGTCACAGTGACCTTGACCCTCGACCACCAACCTCTCAACAATTCATTGTTGAGTCCAAGTGAACTTTCTTGCCAAAGTTTAAGAAACTTCCTCAAGGTGTTCTTGAGATATCACGGTCATGAGAATAAGGTTGAGGCAAGGTCACAGTGACCTTGACCTTTGACCACCAAAATCAAAATCAGTTCATTGTTGCTACCAAGTGGATGTTTGTGCCAAATTTGAATAAATTACCTCAAGGGGTTCATGAGATATCGCATTCACCAGAATGGGACCGATGGACAACAGACAACCCTAAAACATAGCAGTACCTCAGCCCATAGAGACTTGGCTTGGGAACCGGGGGGTCGCCAGTTCAAGTCCCTGTGCGGACCAAGTATAGACTGTGGACTGGTGGAGAGGTGTCAGTCCATGCTCCTGCCTTTGAGCAAGGTACTGAGCCCCCACCTGCTCTGGGTAGCTGCCCATGTGCAGCTTCCTCACTCTGACATCTCTCCATTTAATACATGTGCATAGGTCCTGTTGGTGCATGTGTTTGTTTTGGGCCTCTGTGTATGTAACATAATTAAAAACAGAGTAAAAAAATTGAATTTTCCCTCAGGGATTGACAAAGTATGTTGTCTTCTTCTTTGAATTTCTAGGACTTTTTAAGCACTTTGTTAAAAAATGGGGCGACTTCCAAAGTATTTCAGTACTTCATTTTTTTTCCTCCTAATTCAATTATTTCAAGCACTACAAGAACCTTGTGCCAACCCTGTCGAGTGTATATCGCTTTGTTAACTACCATTTATAAGGTCAAGCATGAATAGACACAGTCAAGCTAAACTTTAAACTTTTATCCACCATGTACAAAAAGTCAATAGTTTGAACATCCACAGTTCCATGACAACTGGGCAACGCCATCTGCTGATGAGGACTGTGTGATACAATTAGAAGCCACAAGAAAAGCAGTGAATGGACCTTGAACAAAAATGAATTTGTCAGTTTTCACTGTCCTCTGTAATGATGGACCATTCATATGAAAAGACAGAAATTCCAACAGCAAAGCACAGACGGAAATAAATCAAAAGTAAGTTTTGAATTTAAAACAGATGGATTCGAGAGGACCTTCATTGTGGACCTTTCTCACCATGGAATCACAGCGTACCTTCCCACTTTCCTGTGAGGGCAAGTGTCCTGTTGATAACGATGTCGATCTCAGTGGCACCATCAGCCACTGCCAAGCGGACTTCCTGCAGGCGGGTCTCCAATGGTGTCTGGCCTGCTGGGAAACCAGTGGCCACTGGAAAAAGAGGGACAATACAAGTCTTGTTCTTTCTCTACAGGTACACTCCACACACACAGTCATACAGTACTGAGCTCACCATTCATGTCAAACAGTTACTCTCAGGGTAACTCAGTTTCAGGTGACTCACCTGAAGCAACAGGAAGGCTGGAGTTGGCTGCTTTTAGTGTTTTGACGGCATCGGCCACACGAGATGGATACACGCACACTGCTGCTGTTGTCACTCCTGACGCACACAACACAATACAGGAAGCAAAGCAGTGAAGAGGAAACAAGGTGATAAACTGGTCTGTGTCGCCCTCTGCAGGTTGAATTAAGTCTAAACATACAGTCAAACATGCTGATCAGACTCCAGAGCTGCTGAAGGTCAAAGTTTACTGTTAATCTTCATTGTCACATCTAAATAAGTTTGATTAACCATGAAAAACCACAACATGTGTGATCATCTGACAGGTAACTGATCGTCTAAAGGCTCGTGTTTCCTGAGCTGCCTGCCTTCACTTTAGTGATGTCACCACATTCCCAGAGCTTTTAACACGGTGAGTCCAGTGTTATTATTACTGATAGAAGTGGTTGGACAAGGCTGTAAAAATAAGACTCAAATAAACCTGTATTATGCCTTTGTGTTTTATGTACAGCTGAAACAGTCCGTCAGTTTATCAGAAGATTACATGGCAATCTTTTTGATAATTGATCAATTGTTAGTTTAATTTCTAAACTATTTTTATGCTTTCCTTTGTTTAAAATTCTAGTAAACCAAATATATTTGAATAGATATGAATTAGGTTTTGAACTGATGGTGGAATAAAATGTGGCATTTTGGAGGAAAGTGGGATCAGCATCTGAGTATCTCCCACACCAAAATATTTACTGATTAATCAAAAAAAAAAAAAACAAAAAAAAAAAAAACAACAACAACAATTAGATGATTAATCAATAATAAACAGTATGTTTGTAGTGAAATAAGGATCAGCTGATATGGTTTTCAGAGCCAGTTCCAATTACAGGGCATATGCAGGAATCCTGAGGTTAATTTCAATACCTTTTTAAGACTTTTTTAAGACCTTCCAAAAAAACCTTAAGACCTCATCGCCACTTCAAGCTGTCGTTAGCAGCAACGCATCTTTAACTTACTAAACAGTTGTAGTTTGCAATTAAATCTATGGAGCACAAACATACAACAAAACTCAGATAAGTTGAGAAAGATTTTTTATTGTCTTTTGCTCCTCTGTTTGGCGCCTGGACGTGTGCCGTTGCGTGATGACGCACAGGTACGCGCACGGCCCTGAGTGGCAGTCCAAGTGTGCCTAGCTACACATCGTTGTTTGACATAGTCGCGAGGAGGAAAATAAATTATACATTCATGGATACTTTTTTTCAAAGCTTGAATGCCAAGAAAATTTAATACTTCATAAAATCACGATTAAGACTTTTTAATACATTTTAAGGGCCTTAATTTTCCGACGTTTTATTTATCAACTTTTAATACTTTTTAAGACCCTGCGGACACCCTGGATTATTAGTAATAAAGGAGACCGATAACTGATTATAGTTAAACTACATTTGCAGTAAAAATGAAAATCTTAGTGTTGAAATTGCAAATAACAAAAATTTCCAGAGATATACTGATTTTAAGGGATACCGTGATATAGTTGACAAGTTGACAATTATACCATGTACATTGGCTTATCTACCATATTCAAAAGAACTGCAACTGGCTGTTACAACTCCTGTTTACTTTAGTTATTTTCAAAGGGGAGACTTTTTACACATACTTCCATTAACAAAACAGTTTCAAGTTTCAATCACAGTAATAAAACATTTGTTCAACCAACATGAAACCCTTCTGTTTTCATTCCTTTAAGGGTCATTCTGACTGATAATACTATAGATTCTGTAATACCGTGATATCGTAAAACCAGGATATTTTCTGAGATGGTTATCGTATCATGAAAATCTCATACTGGTGCAACCCTAATGCCTTTAAACATATATTAAATTAAATAGCGCAAAGAGAAGTTTTCAACATTATTTAAAAGAAAAAATCCTTGCTCTTTCACCATCTTTGCATGTATGGCAGCCTGCCTTTCCTGGTGCTGGTTCGTGTAATACTCCAATAAGCCTAGTGCACATTAGGACCTTTGATTTAGTGCATCCATATCAACTGTACCTTTTTGTTTTTAATGTTATTATTACTTGACGCTTTGGCAATATCAGCTTTGTTACACTCATGCCAATAAAGCACCTTGAATTGAAATTTGAAATTGAATTGAGAGGGAGAAGTAAGAGTATGGACTGAAGTTTTGACGTAATACAAAATCTTTCTGTGTAACTGTATAATTATCTGTTTTATTAGTGAAGTTAATGGAATAGGGCCCCCAACAGGTTAAATAAGCATTGGCAGGTCTGCATTGGCAGTCTGGTGTATGAAATGTCTGCAATGTCAGTGATCAAGTGTTTGAAAAACTTGTCACATCTCCTGCCCGCGTCCAGGCTCAGTCTTAGGTCACATTTATACTTTCTTTACATATGTAAATAGATATGTCAGTTTCAATTGAAGTAAACGTCACTGCCCTCATAATTCCATGCGTTATTAATGACAGCATAGATACAGCCAGTAGATGGCATGAGAAGGTGGAGTCAAAGTTTCACACAACAACAAACGAGGCGCAGGGGAGGAGGTCATAATATTGCACCTTTAAACTGAGGCATCGTTGTAGACAGTGGTGGTCTGTGAGGCCATTAAATACACCATGACGTGGACAGGGAATTCTTTTCACTACATTAGCGAGTCATTCCATTCCGCTATTATTTACAGTTATTTGTTGTCTCCTACAGTCGTCTCACGCTTTAACTACGCTAGTGAACATAGAACACGAACAGAAGGCTCAGGCTGTCTCTGTCTCCGTATCTAATGTTGATGGCTGCTTTGTCAGTAGACCTATACGATATGACATGCCAGGTAACCTCCTGTGGCAGTTTTGGACGTTCAGGGACAGTGTATCACATTTACGCTTGTTACATGCATTGTGTCTTTTCAAAAACACTTCCCTTTTTACAGGAAATATCCAGTTTCTGCTTGTTAAATTCATACAGTCTTTTTCTCAATAAGCTTACAATGTAGGTAAAAACATATTGTTTTTAGGTTTACTTCCTGAGAGTGGTGACAACAGACAGACTTCCGATAAATTTAAGAATTCTGAACATCGCAGCCAATCATCAGCCTTAGAGTAGAGTGAACCCTGGTCTATATGTGGTGTGTCTCGCAGCAGACCTTTGTTGTGCATATCCATCTCTTTGAGCAGGTCGTAACGGACCGGCTGGATGGCTTTCAGACACAGCCGATGGACATTGGACGGTGTATCATCTCCAGCAAGAGTTGTCAGGTCGATACATGTGACAGCCTTCAGCAGCCAGGCAGCCTGCAGGACAAACACACAGACATGGCACCAAACATCACAGAAAATACTTTTACACTGTCTGCATCTTCAGAGCTCAATCTCATTATGGACAGTTGTGTGACATTGGTTTTCTTCAACTATCTGTAGAGTTGGGTGCTTAAATAACATACATGGTGAGACAATATCAAATGATAAAGCATTAGAGATTTTGTCTCTATCCATGAGGGAAAGAGTTTATTACCTGCCACTGCTTCTTGGGGGTCTTCAGTCCTTGGATGTGCTGAGCTCTCTTCAGGATGGCCTGTGTATTCACCCTCACTTTTGATATCCGCTCAAGGTCTGACGTCCATGAACAGGGAACGTAGAAGAAATAAAATGAGTCACTGTTTTACATTAAACTATTTTTGCCCTTTTTTTCACATTTATGACGCTCTAGAACTTTCCACTGACTCATTACAATTACTAAACTACTTTATAGTAAGCACCCTTTTAAAACAGCTGTCCAACATTATGGAAAATGTAGTGCAATGAGAAAATTTTATTATTTTTACTTTGGTGCATCTGATACAGACACACCCACAGTGTGTTTGGCCTAACCTAGTACAAATATACAACGCTTGACATGTAAATGAAAGAGTTTAGGAGCAGTTGGAACTTGAGTTCAGTTTTGCTTCCAGTCTGTGCTAAGCTAATCTAAGGGACTGTTCATTATTTATGAGTGGGGAGTGGGTGCTGCAGAAAGGGGAAGGAATGTTACATAATTTTTTAAGCACTAGGAAGGGTCTTATATTTTTTTTATTGTGGCTTAGGGGAGTGGCATACAACTTTAAAAGCCGATTTTTAAAGAAACCAACCAGCAGGCAGATTTGTAAGGCATGTTTTCTTTTAAAATCGCCAAAATTACAACATTTATCTTAGCCCAGTAGGGACGGGTACCAAAACCTGGTATTAAATGAGCCCCAGGGCTAAATTATCAAAGTTCGTAGTTTTGATAAGCTCTGACGTAATCGGTTCTTTTATCAATACTTTTAAACATTTTGGTTTAATTCATTATCATCCTGCAGCCTCTCACCTGTTCTCTCTGCGGGGGCTGACCTTCTCCACATACACACACAAAAACACACACAGACACACATGAACACACACACAGACACACACACAGACACACACACACACACAGGACAGGAGTAAAGTCAGTGAACAGAAGAGAGGCCTTGATGGAGACAAAGTGAAGATAACTCAAAAATGTATTCGGGTTAATGACAACTATGCTTGTTACTGCAAGTGCTGTTAAACCTTTGTGAGTAAAAAGCCAATACTTTATCAATACACATATTCAGCAAGCATAAACATTTAAACATGTAGACATAGATAATTTAATATGCTCTGCCAGTAGTCTCTCACCCACCGACACTAACATTATGTCTCACACAAGGACAGCACATTAGGTTGGCTAATAGTGAATTATTACAAATAAGCTAAAAAGAGCTGTCTGTATGGAGTCTAACAGTTTAGCTTAGTTTGCTACGTAGATTAAAACTGGGCAAATGCTTTTAATCTAAGCTCCTAGCTGTTGAATTATATATTTTCTAAAAGGCAATTATTTAGTAATGTAAAAGAACCGATAAGAGTATCAATAAAGTGCCATATTGATAAGGAGTATCGACGGGAGTAGCAGTATCAATAAAATCTTAACGATACTCATCCCTAATAGCCATTATATGGGGCAAACGCATCCATCGGAAAAAAACTAAATCTGAGTTTAAAATAGTGATAGTTCATCAAAATCACTATAATCAACATATCTTATTTAAAGTTTTGTCAAAAATAAACCACTTGTACTAACTAAGAATGAAAAACCAAGGCTATTTTTTGACTCCAGGATTTCATCTTCAACTTTTATTTTTCGAACAAGGAAGGGTAAGTTTTTAAAATATATGCATTTTCTGCCAGTCACCCAGGAAGGCTCAAGGAAAAAAATTGTTAAGAAAAGAAGAAAACAAAAGTCACACCTCTGCCAACCCCTCCTCTAATAAGTACAGAACAGTCCCTAATAATGATCCAGACATATCTCTCTGGTGGACACACAAACACGAATTACGTTGAATTTCTCATGTGACTCTGGGTTACTCAAAGGCAAACAGGATTTTGAAGTTAAATAAGCGTAAAGACAAGCCGGACTGAAGTACAGGAGGGTTTTTGGTCAGCTGAGCAGGAAGAGCTAGGCTGTCAGGAGTTCTTAATTACAACGCTACTGGCAGCACTGTAGTCACAGCAGCCATATCACACAATACTGAACAGCAGTTTATGTTGTCTCAATGTATGTTATAGAAGGAAAAAGAGAACTTAACAAGTGAAATCGATATAAATGATTTGTAACTTCCACTTTCTACTGACGACGTGTCTTTGTTACAGTAACTTACGTGTGTTACAATATGTTTGTTACAGTGAGTTACACAGTAACATTTCCATGTTCAGCAGGTCACTTACCTCCACAGTGTTACTTATTAAGCTGCCAGGAGCTAAAGCTGAAGCTAATTTTCTTGACTGCTCTGATTTTGATAAAACGGTACATTTCTACAAAGCAGGGCAAGGTTTTATTTATTTTATGAATTATCAATTTAACGTTAAATAATGCTAGTAAAATGAAAAGTTAGACACTGTAAAAAGTAGACGAGCACATGTGTGTTCATAAGTACCTGACATTATTACAGCTAACTAACGTTAACGCTACAATTTAGCGGGGCTAGATTTAGCTTTCAGCCTCTACTCACCGAGCTCCATCCCCGGGTTTCTGTCCGACATGTCGATGGACAGCTAATATTTATTCAAGTGCAGATATTGAAAGAGACAGCAGAAGCCAGCTTTAGCCGAAGTGACCTGTCAGTACTCCACTTCCTGTCTACAGCGAAGACCTTTGGCGTGTACAGGAAGGGGAATCCCTCCGCAATAAAACACAATCAAAAAAAAATGCTCGAGTTTACTACTTCCGGGATACCTTGTGTTGTATTCAGTCATTCTCATTTCTAAAAAAAAAAAAAAAAAGAAAAAACATAAGTAGCCTTTGAATAAGACTATACATAAATAGTATAAATAAGACTATACTGGTAGGAACTGCTTTACCTTACTGTGCCAGACACAGGGCCATAAATATAGACCGTGCAGGCAGTGTGATTGCACTGGGATCTGTGATGTGGAGGGGCTCATCGAGAGTGTGGGACCTCCAGGAAGGTGTTGGGTGGAGAATAGGCCCTTATGAGGGAATGCAGCCTTTAGAATATATTTTCAAAGAACTCTCATTAAATAAAAAACAGTACCATTTGTCCTTTAAGAAGGCAAACCCATCTTCATCATGTTTATGTTTTCTTTTTTGTAAAATAGTCAAAAACATCTTTAACAAAATTATTTGCTTATTCCAAATAGACTATAATAAAGTATTTGAGCTGTTAAATTCATCATTTCTAATTTTCTTTGGGATTTTTTTTGTGATATACAGATGATGATGATTGCTGGGTAATATGTAGCTACGTTAATGTTATCCAATGTCAAGTCTCTGATCATGTGACGAGATGAAATGTGCATGATAGAGTACACAATCAGGCTTATTATGATAGCGTGCACTGGGGCACAATGCACCTCATGCCACTGGTCAGACATGTAATAAACTCCCAGCAGTGGAATAAGTAGCCTTCTCAGATGGTTAACTGGAGTAAAACTAGTAGCCTACCACAGTATAGAAATACTCTGATGATAATACTTTTATTTTACTTCAGTAAAATTTTGAATGCAGGAATTTCACTTATAACAAAGTATCAAAGCCACTGGCTCAGAATATTGTTTGTTAATGGATTATACAACTCCAATTCCAAAAAAACTGGGAAGCTGTGTAAACCTTGAATAAAAAGAGAATGCTATGATTTGTAAATTGTTTGTAACCTATATGCAATTGAATACAGTACAAAGAAAAGATATTTAATGTTCAAACTGATAAGCTACACTCATTCTAAATTTGATGCCTACAACACATTCCAAAAAAACTGGGATAGGAGCATGTTTACCACTGTGTGACATCACCTTTTCTACTGATAACACTCAGTAAGTGTTTGGGAACTGAGGACACAAAGAGTTCAAGGTTTGAAAGTGAAATACTTTCCCATTCTTGCTTGATGTTCAACATCAGTGTCTCAACAGTCCCTTGCCTATTTTGCACTTTATAATGCGTCACACATTTTCATTGGGAGAAAGGTCTGGACTTCAGGTAGGCCAGGCTGTTACCTGCACTCCTTTACTTCGAAGCCATGCTGGTCTAACACATGCAGACTGTGTCTCATTGGCTTGCTGGAATAAGCAGGGACGTCCCCCAAAAAAATCATCATCCAGTTGTCAGCATGTGTTAGAGCGTGTGCATTTGCGAAACAGATCGTGTGCATTTCCGAATTTATATTACAAGTTTGCATAAACATTATATTTGTGAACCAGAGCGTGTGCATTTGCTAAACAGATTGTGTGCATTAGTGAGTCCGAAATACAACTGTGAACCAGAGCATGTGCATTCGTGAAAAACCCTGCGTGTGTTCATTCAGTATGAGACTGATCTGACCCCATAGTATAATTTTATTTGAGTTTTAATCAATATTATCCCTAGAAATAGCATATGTGCACTTTGAGCTTTGAGCTGAGTTTTTTGTCCAACTATAGGGGGTTAACAGGTCACTTCTACTCAGAGGCTCTTAGAAACTAATTTCTACATTAGAATCATTCAAAACCGGGTGAATACAAAGGACAGCATGGTTTTATTTGAGTGTCTTTTGTTTTATCATCTGGACACAGTATATGTCCATTTTGAGCTCATATAGCTGAGAAAGTCTAAGGAAGCCTGGACATGGCATGTACAACAGTAATGTTAAATACAATAAAAAATTATTTTGTGGATTCACTTTGTTTTCATAGTGTAATGAGATGAATAAAAACAAATGTAGGCTACATAAATCAAAATAAAAAAAGTATGGTATTAGTATGGTATGCTCTGGTGAATGTTTGGTGGTTTAGTCAGTTCTACAGCATTATGTAATAAATGAGCTAAAACATGCAGAAACACTGGTTAGTCCCTGAATGCTTTGAGCTGCACAAGCACAGCAGTTGGCGTGATTCCTGACTCAATTGTGGCTTTGGCCAAAACCACAGACTACCACACAGAGAAGTGCACAGTAGACTTTTCCATTACCCACCCAGGACCATTCTTTGGGCCCTTCATCTCTTACCCAGAAGCAATGGGCAACATCTGGACAGATTAAAATATAACCAGATAATAATCGGATGTTGATTTAGGTTTGCTGTCATACAGAAAGTCGTGAAAGCAGTAACTACTGTCACCAATGTCAAGGAAGTCTCAGCTAAATCAGTGTTTTAGTACTATCCAAAATTATATTAGTTTGTTTTTTGCATTAAATCCAAGGACCAATAGGAAGAGGAAAGGCCACACATTTAAGTTAAAGGGTCAAGACTTGCTCTCACCCTGCAAGCAGTTACCAAGCCTGCAAGTTTTACATGCTTGAGTAATTGTTACATACCAGATGTATGCAGAGGCACATATAGGATCTGTTATAGGGAGAGCCCAGGCCTGAGCCAAACCCTGCCTGGTTACCATGGAGCTGCTGCATAATATTATGGAAACATATGTTAGTGAGGCCTTGTATTGTTACAGTATATAGACCTTGTGAAAAGAACCTCAATACAATATTCAGTTTCAGCTTTGCCTGGTGGTGAACATCAGTTGTACAGGAAAGGCGGTGTGACATACAGAAACAACCTGTTTGTGTGTGGTCCAACACCAGACATCTAACCAGCTGGTGCACTGCAAAAATACATCATACAATTACAGTGCAAAAATCCTATATAAGGGTGAGTGGGGTCTGTTGGGACACATGTATTGACACGAAATAATCTTCCATTACTCATAGATTACTTGAACACTAATGAAGACATTTTGATCCCTGAACAGATACAGATACAATTCATCAATTTTTTTTAGAGCCAACCCAAACCTGAAAGGCACAACTTAGGAAAATTGTGCCTTTCAGGTTTGGGTTGGCTTAAAATAAATTTCCTACATGTACAACACTCTACATTTAAAACATCACTTGTTTACACATTTTTTATAGAAAAAGAAAACATTTGTAAACTCATTATATTTTCATAGATTACTGAGAAATTTCTTCATATTAGCTGCACCTATCAGGTAAATGTGGTTATTATAGGCTACATGTAGCCTACCTGTTTATGTAGGCTAAAAAAAAATTAAAATAGTTGAACTCCACATATTCAATACGGTTGACATGGGCCTATATGAAGGTTATGGATTTTTATACATGGCCAATAAATTTAGCTTGGCAGTATAAATCTCTTAATAGGCAAAACATAGTTTAAAACAGAGAGCACTGGCTATAACCAGAAGCAAGTTTGTATAAAAAAAGAAATAAATAAATAAAGCAAGTTTATTAAAAACATTTAATAAATATATTAATTAATCTTAGCAGAGTAAATCTCTTTTAGGCTGAACATACCGTAAAACAGAGGCCATGGACTATGACCTAAATCTAGTTTATTAAAAACATTTCAGCAAACTACATCTCAGGCTAAACATGACTCAAGCATAAAATAGGAGGTTAGCCAATTTATTGAAATTATTTGGTTAGGCAAAGCCTTTATCTTGTTTTTGACTACTTTTGTTGTAACAAAGAAGAAACTATAAGCAATACTGTAATACTGGACTCCTGTCCTAACTTCCACAAAATTTAGATAGCTAACGTTAGCTTGAACTGACAGGCCAGAAAATAAGTTAACCAAGAATATGTTTTTTTGCATGTGGCATAAGTAAAACCAGTATGGTAGAAGAAAAGTTACAAAAGGACCAAAAATTTACTCACACGGCATGTGAGGAAGAGTCAGAGGATGAAAGTGAAAAAGGTGTGGTTGAGTATAATCATGGTGAATGACGTTAACTGTAGTTGCCCTCTAACTTTCTAAAAAGGCACTGTCCTAACTGTTTTTTCAACATTTTAAACATCCATACATGGTATGGAAGGCGTATTCTAAAAAATGATGTAAGACTATTCTATATTTATGTCTCTTGATTTTTGCGAAATTTGCTTTATCATTAATGCCATTTTTTCCTCATAAGTTTGCGTTATGCACCAATACTCCAAAGCAAATTCCTTGTATGTGAAAACCTCCTTGGCAATAAACAAGATTTTGATTCTGACAAGGTTTTCTTTCAGCATTGGTGGGGACATGTATGAAAATGAGGGTTTGGGGTTTCATTTCATTTATTTCATTTATTTCATTTATTCGGATCTCCATTAGCTGTGACTAAAGCCACAGCTATTCTTCCTAGAGTCCACCCCAGGAAGAATAACTGGAGGTTCTCCCCCAGTGACCTTTGAGCATCAAACACTTAAATTACTGCATTCTGGGAAATTTCTATTCATCAATTTTTGCCTTGTACGTATCAATTTGTGGTGGAAATGTCTTTAATTTCATTAAAATAAAAGTTTTCTGCTATTTATTTTGTCTTTTCGGTGGGGGGTGACCCTGCGTTCCCTTAGCCTATGGATTCTGGTGTCATTATTCTTTCTACAGAGCTACATTAGCTGCTTTAGATATTGCCTTCAAAAACTAAAGATACCCAACACTCTGTAGACTTTTTTATAATACAGCACTGACGCAAGGTGACGGATTTTGGTTGCTTCAATTGCTTTATTTGCATTGTTTACTGTTGTACTAAGTGATGGTGACTTCATAATCATGTCACCTTTTTTGCAATGAGGTAAACAAGAAGCTGTGGGAGAATTCTTGATGTCTCTGAGCTTCCACTAGATGTCAGTACAGTGCAAAAGTTCAGCAAAAACTGCACCTTTCATTGCTGTTTGAAC